TATTTTGGACTCCTTAACTTGAGAAGTCCCTTCATGAATAATCCTAAGTTTGTCGCATACTTGTTTAGCTGTGGTACAACTTAATACTTTGTTGAACTCAGTGGGAGTTAAGGCACAATGCAAAGTGTTTATTGCCTTGAAGTTTGTCTGAACCTTTTTGGTTTCAACTTTAGTCCATTCAGGCCTCAGCTTAGGGATCATTTCATTTGTCATTACATTTATGGTTGACAGAATGAAGGGTCCATAAGTTATAACATCCCACATTTCATAATCTATTGCCCTTATATAGATTGACATTCTAGTGCTCCAATAAGGGTAGTTTGATCCATTAAACAAAGCTGATCTGTTTATGGATTGTCCATTAGCAACTATAGATTTTTGAAGAGCCATTTGGATCCCTCTTAGGATGTTAAGCCTTAACAATAAGGGATCTAGCTCTGATACCACTTGTTGGTCCCAAGTACATGTGCTAGAGGGGGGTGAATAGCACTTTTTGGCTATTTCAAGATTGGACCTCTATTTGGGGGTAATTTTAACATCAATGATGGGAAGTTAAATACAAGTTAATGAATAATCTAACAAGGAATGAAATGAAGAATAAAGCAGCAAAGACCAAACACAAAGATTTATAGTGGTTCGGTCATAGACCTATATCCACAACCTTGATTGTTCAACCAAGGATTTTTCAAATCAAATCACTATGAACGGTGAAATTCTTAAGCTTTCACCAAGCTTTTACAATGGCTTTTCACAGGCTCTGCCACAACCTTCAACAATGATTTTCCCGGGATCAACCAAAACCCAAAAACTAACTTTTCGAGGCTCAGTTAGAACCTATGCACTCAATCAAGCTAACCCAAGTTTGATTAATCCCCTTAGAGTGTCTCGCACACTCTAAGCAATCAAGGACAAGAGAAATAAAAAGGTACCAATGATCACTAACCTGATCTGATGGTTCAAGATGAAGTTCTTAACTCTGTTACAAAGGTTGAAGGGAAGTGCAGAAAATATGCAGAGTGTTCTTGAGATTTTTGAGCTATTTTTGATCTTGGAAGCCTTTAAATCTTCTTTTTTGGTTGTTAGGAGGTGTTTTTATACATGAAAAGTCAACTTTGATGGCAGCTAGACAGATTCTGATTATTGGAAACAGTTTGGGAGCAATTCTGCTTGTTACTTTATCTTTTAGCGTCAATTCAAACTGCCAGATTGAATGCCATTAGTCAACTAATTGATATCACTTGGTCGGCTAAGTCGTTTATGTCTCTGAACTCAGTTTCTGGCAATAAGCTCTATCTTTGACCATTTTTGGCTGTACCCTCTTAGTTAACTAACAAACTTTCTTGGTTGATTGAGTAGTTTCTGTCTTTGAACTCAGTTTCTGGCAGTAAGCTCTTAGTCGACTAACTCTTTCTCTTGGTCGACTAAGTGCTCTCTGTTTCATGATTTACTTGAACCCGCCAACTTCTCTTTTGAGTTTTATCTAACCAACTTCCTTGATTATTCAACTTAGAGGCTTCTCACTTCATTGCTTACTTCTAGCTCCTTATTCTTGTTAGTTTTGATATTGTCTTTTGAATGGTCAACTAATTATTAAATATATTTGTCCTGCACACTCAGGTAAATGGAAATGTTTTATTATCATCAAAAACTAATGGAGCCAACATGCACTCTCTTAGTCCAATTAAAAGTTATTCTTTAAAGCACACCTACAAAAGCACAATTTAATCAATAGTAGCTTTTCTTAAGCAATTTAACATTTAACTTAGCCTAAAATAATATAAATTCAATTGGCCAAACATATTTTACTATAATTAAATAAATAACTAAAAACATCTAAAATCTATGCTAAAACTCAAGAACCTAGCAACTTAATAGCTAAAATTAAGATCAAATAACTCTATATTATAGAGCTATAAACTATCAGAACCTATCCCTAGGCCATGACCGATACAAGGGGCAAGTAGGCAAGTCCACTTGACCAAAAAAAGCTTCCAATACAAAATGCATTAGGATAAACAAATACGACATTTAAGAGAGTTCCTTATCTCATTTGAAATACATGTACAATTACACTAAAAGTATTTATTTCATTTGAAAATTATAACATTTTGCAAACAGTGTATGTGTCAAACCATCAAAACCAAAGAATTTACAAATTTAGATACCAACATAAAATGTGCCAAACAAAGGCCAAGTATAAATATTTATCCTAGTTTTTAACCAAACAAAGTATGACTTGAACTTAGCAAAGCAACTCAACAGAAGGTCAAAAACCTCAACTTGATGACTTGAAGTCCACTCACCAAGTATTATTATAAAAATGACCCCTCTTAATAAGCCAACGAAAGATCTATCTGTAATGACTGCACCTCGATCGCTACCGGTGTCCAAGCCTGGCGAGAGAACCCCCCAAGTCCCGAATAAGCCTTACTTGAAACTTTTGTTAATACATTATATTCATTCCACTAATTTATGTAATCACTTTGCACTATATAACTCTTTGTACTATACTTAAAACGAAAAGTCGGATAAATCGACTAAACTTTTATTCCATATTATTGTATAAATACATTAAAGATTA